GGAAATAGCCCCTCCTCTGTTCGGTCTGACAGAATTCTCTGTGCAACTCCAAACTTTATACCCCTCCTATAGAAGTTGATCCAACAAGTAGCATATTTAAATGATGTCAACGGGAACTGTTTCTCTCATCTCACTCAATAAGAATTGCAGATAACACCTGAAGGAGATTCTAAGCAGGTATTTTCTGCCATCTTCATTCACTGCAGATCTTAATATGAGACAAGACTCCTCAGAGTTCACTCCTAGAACAGAAGGGAATCTACAGTTATCAAAATGACACTCTGCATCTGCTCAGAGGTTTCCTTTCAGCCAGCCTATACGTAGAAAGAAAAAAATCATCTATGCCAAGTACTGATAGAGGCATCTTTAGTTGCACAAGGGGATGACTTGAACTAGGAATTAAACAAAGGTATCACTTTTCCACCGCCAGATCTCAGCACCTGTACCTGTGAAGTTGGAATACACCACCTCTGGAAGCCACCACAATCATTAACACACTGCCATGATGCCAGTGAGGGAGCTTCCTAAGAACAACCAATGCACCTCCCTGCCCCAAAGAGCTTACAGTCTAAATGTCAGGTCTAACCCAAGGGAATGACACCTTTGCCAAGAGTACCCAGGTCACAGCCTTCCAAGCAAGCAGGACATCTGATGATTATTTTTAGGTGCTGCAGGTCTTGATGCACCCGCCCTGCTGCTGCTCTTGGTGCCTCTGAACAGGGGACCCTGGCCAGATTAGATGCTTCCCCTGCCGAATGGCTGCTAGGAGCCGGCAGAGGAGAGGGAGAGCCCCTCACCTTGAACTCCCCGGCTGTGCTGCGGCGTATACTCGAGCGTCCAGAGGGCCCGCACTAGGTGCGACAGCTGCTTCCGTCACCTCGCCCTTGCAGTTGTCCGGGGCGGGCTCCGGCGGGCGGGCGGGAGCCACGGCTGGCACGTCCCTCTCGCCGCCGCCGCCCTCCTCTTCCTCCTCCTCCTCTCCGCCGGCGCCTCTGCCTCCGTCCCCGGCTTCTGCGGCGTTGGCGGCGCGGTACTGCTCGAGGGCGAGGTACTCGGCGAAGAGCTCGGTGTTGCTGAGGCACTGCAGGATGGCGTTCATGAAGCACGTGTTGCCGTGGTTGCGCAGCCCCGCCACGCCGGGCACGGCCGGTAGCAGCAGCGACCCCGCCGAGGAGCCCGGCGGCGGTGGCGGCGGCGAGATCAGCTCCTGGGTCGCGGAGGCTGCGGAGCGGCGGCGGCGACGGGGGAGGCGGCGGCTCGGGCTCCGGGCTGGGCTGGAAGCAGCGGCCCAGGCTGCTGCTGCCGCCGGGGGGGTGTCCGTGGCGGCGGTGGTGGCGGCGGGCCCGTGCTCGGTGCCCAGGTGGGAGAGCGTCGAGAGCGTCTTCAGCACGCGCTCATGAATCCGCCCAGCGACCTGAGGAGGAGGAGCCCGAGCCCCCAGTGCCGGACCCGCCGCCGCCGCCCACCCGGCCCCGGAAGAGCAGCCGCTTGCTGAAGGAAGCGCTTCTCCTTGGCGCCCGCCGCCACCACCACCGGCGAAGCGGCGGCGGGCAGCACCGGGGCCGCCACCGCCGCAGCGCCACTCGCCCGGCCCGACATGGCGCCCTCTCCCCCCGGGCCTACCACCGCCTCATCCACCGCCGCCCGCAGCCCAGCCTCCGCGCCTGGGAGCTTCAACCGGCGGCACAGCCGTGCAGGAGCCGGAGCTGCTCCTCCTCCTCTTGCTGCTGCTGCTGCTCAGGCTGAGGCGGCGGCGGCGGGGCGGAGTCCGCGCGGCGAGACGGGCACGCAGGAAGCCGGCGCCGCCATGCTGGTTGCGGGCAACCGCGGGACCAGCCGACCTACCCTTCTCGCGGCCGCCGCCATCTTTGGTCCTGGCAAAGGCCTCTTTCCCCCCTCCTCCGTCTCCCTCAGTGAAGAAGAGAGGCAAATAGCGTAAAGGGGCGGCGGCGGCTTCTTCGGCCACTCTTGCCAGCCGGGCAGCTTTCAGTGCGGCCCAGTTCCCCTCGGCGCTGGCTCGCGAAGGCCCAGGCCCGAGCCTGCTTCCTCTTGCTCGGCTCCTCGGGACTTCCCGCCAAAACCTCCGTCACCTCTGGGGGCTCACAGGGAAGCCAGGAGTTGCCTTTCTTCCACAGAGACGGAATTATCGTGGCCGTAAATAAATAAAGTAGCTAACATGCAAACATTCTATCTCTCTTCTCTTTGGTGACCACTCGTAGCCGAATAAGATTGTCTTCCATAAACACGGTTTTAACAATGAGTCCGTAAGTGACTGTGGAGGCCAATTCAGGTTCCACACGTCCTTCGACAGTGGGGACATTGGTTTCCAGTAGGGAGTTGAACAAGGTGAGGATTTGCAAAGCGTGCCTTCCTCTTAGCACGTTTCTCCCTTGCATCCCTGAGTTTGAGTGTCTTCAAAGCCCATGACACCTTTGGTAAAGGCTGTTCTCCAATTAGAGTGCTCGCAGGCCAGTGTTTCCCAGTTGTCAGTGTTTATACTACATTTTTTAAGATTTGCCTTGAGACAGTCTTTAAACCTCTTTTGTTGACCACCAACATTACGCTTTCCATTTTTAAGTTCGGAATAGCGTAGTTGCTTTCGAAGATGATCATCAGGCATCCACAAAACATGACCAGTCCAACAAAGTTGATGTTGAAGAATCATTGCTTCAGCACTTTTCTTCTTCTAGTACGCTGATATTAGTTTGCCTGTCTTCCCAAGTGACGTGTAAAATTTTTCAGAGACACCATTGATGGAATCTTTCGAGGAGTTGGAGATGGCGTTTATAAGTGGTCCATGTTTCACAAGCATATAGTAAGGTTGGCAGTACAATAGCTTTGTAAACAAAGCTTTGTGAATGTCCCAGTCCTCAAACACTCTGCACTTCAATCGGGAGAAAGTTGCACTCGCAGAGCTCAGGCGATGGTGGATTTCGGCATCAATGTTGGCCCTTGTGGAAAGATAACTGCCTAGGTAGGAGAAGTGATTGACATTTTCCAACGTTACACCATCGAGTTATATTTGTGGCGCTGCAGAGGGGTTATTTTGTACTTGTTGGTGCAGCACTTTGGTTTTTTGGATGTTGAGTGATAGGCGAAGCTTTTAGTAGGCTTCTGCAAAGATATTTAGGATGGTTTGGAGGTCATCCCTCTGAGCGTGCACACACTACATTGTCATCAGCATACTGAAGCTCTATGACGGAAGTTACAGTAACCTTACTCTTTGCTTTCAGCCTGCCTCAGACTGAAGAGCTTTCCATCTGTTCAATATATGATTTCTACTGCGGTGGGGAGTTTCCTTCGACAAAGCGTAGGATCATGGAATGAAAATAATGAATAGAGTTGGGGCAATAACACAACCCTGTTTAACACCTGATCCCACTGAGTGGTTCACTTTAAGAGCCATTGTTCTCTGTGATTGTTGCTGTCATACTAGATTGCTACACCTGCCCTTGCCCAGGGAGCTTTCCCTGAGCAAGGCGGGTGCAAACCACTGCTTTTGTTGGAGAGCAAAAGCAGGTGTGCTACAGGGCCTGTCCTGCACCCCCCCTAAATTGGCCAGCAGCCTTCAGGTATGCTGCTATCCTGTTGCCAGTGTTGAGTTCAAGTCCCATCTCAATCCAGTTACCTTCTGAACTTGGGAGGGAGGTGCCATCTTGCCCTTTGCCTCCGGCAACAAAATGTCTTGGACCAGCCTCTACCAGCGAACACAGCAATCCCCCCGCACACGCACACACATTTGCAGCATCGCTTACTCCAGCAACATCAGTGCTCCTAGTTCTTCCCTATGGAGCAACACTTCCTTTACTGCAGAGCTTTGTGTGTCGCTACACGTTAGTGTGTCGCCGGCAGTGTGTAGGTGTGTTGTGCGAATGCTCCCCGCGCTCCTCCCGGGGCTGGAAAGAGTTCATTTAACCTTTGGTTTGCTAGTAAAAACTGAATGGCTGTGTCGCAAAATGATGCACGTCTAAAAAGCGTGTCACCAACATGAGAAGTTTGGAAAGCTCTGCTTTACTGCTTGAAGGTTGTCTGATGTGTTCCTGTGATGCGCTGCTGTTTTGGAGATAAGCTTTGGCATCTTCAGCAGAGGCTGCTGCAAGGGTATGAAGACAAGCTGCAGCTTCACCCGACCTCAGTTATGCCTTCAGTCTTTACAGATCTTGAATGTGCCCTCCTCCTGCTTTGCAACTGTAAAAGCATCGATGAACCACATGGGATCTATTAAAAACAAGAAGCAGATGATTTGGGAGTGATCAGACTCCCACTGCTTTACAGTGTGTTATGTGGCTGGGTGGCACTGCTGAAGTTATCACATATATTTATGTATCAGTCAGTGGGTGGCTGTTGTTCACAGAGTCTGGTAGAGTTTAAGGAAGGAGGTCAACAGTAGGGGGAGCCAGAGCCAATGATTGAGTTCAGTGTAGAACTGCTGAGTTCTACAAGGGCAGAACTGCGGCTACAGAGGAGGAACTTGATAGGCATCGCTACCCTCTGGACTGGTTGTAAGAAGGCAGGAAGGTAGGGCTGGGCAGGGCAGACCAAGGCTCACCCTAATGAACCACCCTCCAGTGGTATCTGCATATGTTAAACTGAAAGCCTCAAACATAGCAAATGTTAAATTCACATTTCAGAAGAGCAGCTGTGCTAGTTTGTTGCAACAAAAACAATAAAGAGTCTTGTAGCACTTAAAAACTAACAGTCCAAGATAGGTTTTGTGAATGGCGCTCTCTCTCTCTCTCTCTCTCTCTCTCTCTCTCACACACACACACACACACACACACACAATTCATTATTCAATCCTATGTTTTTCAAACAATCGCCAGCATTTCAGAGTTTGCAGACATTCCCAGCATTTGCCTGAGGGCTGTTAACCTTCATGTGAATGTCAGCATTCACCATACCTCATACAACCACAGTTATTGTAGGCTGAGAGAAAATATTAATGACACACTGCGCTGAATCATTTATTTGGAACATTTTTACCACCTTCTTCAGCCAAAGAGGGGGGCCCTTGTTTTTCTTCTCTGCCTCATTGTAGAAACGCCTCACCATCAAATATATCTCTAATTATATAGTTCCAAAACTGTAGGATTGAGAACAATCCCTGCTGAGTATTCACATAGGTAAAGAAATCCCATATTCCCCTTGTTTATGGACTACTTATGGACTCATTTGGATGGGAAATTCACACGCTCTCCTCATCTATCTTTCCATTCTAAATGTCCAATGGCTATGCTCACTCCTGCTTGTTTGGTGGCATGTTCCATGGAATCAGTGGTTTCCTGTGCTTGGTTGCCTTTAGAAGGAGGTCACAAGAGATTTGTGATGTTTTGTAATATTTGAATTTGTCTACAAGTTGAGCATAGCTGGAGTTTTGAAGTGCCTAAGGTCCTCTGCTCCCACATTGGATTGATGCAGGGAAACAGCCAGCCCACTCAAATACAGTTTGCTTACAATCCCCAAGTCAGTTTTCTATGGGTCTCTCCAGACCCATGGGTCAGCAACCTTTTTCAGCCATGGGCCGGTCCACCGTCCCTCAGACCATGTGGTGGGCCAGACTTTTTTTGGGGGGGGGTAGATGAACAAATTCCTATGCCCCACAAATAACCCAGAGATGCATTTTAAATAAAAGGACACATTCTACTCATATAAAAACACGCTGATTCCCGGACCATCTGCAGGCCAGATTTAGAAGGCGATTGGGCCGCATCCAGCCCCTGGGCCTTAGGTTGCCTACCCCTGCTCCAGACTCTTTTGTGGGGGCAGGGGAGTATTTTGTGACACATCATTGATATAATCAATGTAAGCACATTACTGGTGGTTTATACTAGATCCTCCATTCTGCTTTATAATTTGCTTTCCCCAATGTTACCATATTATTGCCATTACTGTATTGCCAACTTCTGCACTATCCTGCAACAAAAGCAAGGGACAGGAATAAACCCCAAACCCAGAATATTTATGGGATGAAAAATGTTTGTTTCTTCTTCTGACAATTTTCTTGGTCTACTCTGAAGTGATGCTTTTGACCTTTGAAACCTTAAATGGTTTGGACCAAATTATTCAAAGGTCCATCTCACCTCTACCTTGCCTCACTTGCCCATCTCTGAGAGCATATAGGTTAGGCAGGAGGGAGACAGGGGACCATGTTGCTTCAAGGGGCTAATAGGAGTTGTAGACCAAAACAGCTGGAGGGCACCAGGCTGGCAGGGGTGGTAAAGACTCCCTTCTTTTCACTGGCTTTTTCCTGAGTTTGATCTTCTTTTCAAGTGTTGATTGGCTTTGGCTGTAGTTATGTACTGGACTGTCTTTTTCAAGGAGGGTGGATGTTTCCTTGCATTCTTTTGGCTTTTCTTACTGATATATATCTGCAGTTGTATTATATAGTTTCAAACTATGTAACATCCCCTGGGGTGAGGTTCCACCCTTAAGAAAGGGCTAAAAGTATTTTAAATAACTACATAACCATGAAGCAAATCAGTGCAGCATAATATAAAGCTGCTGCTCCACTTTGACGATATGGATCAAGACTATCTTTCTTTCCTTCTTTCAAACAAACAAACAAACAAACAAACAAACACCATAATCCTTTCTTTCTGTTCCACTGCTGGACCAGGGTTACGCCCGCCTGCTCCTACGCTTGCTGCCGGCAGGGGCCGCTGCAGGGCAGGGAGCGGCAGGCGAGTGGCACGGCAGGGCGGCGAATAACCTGCAGGGGGCGCCTCGAGCTCGCGGGGCGGCGAGCGCGTATTGCAACCCGAGCCTGGCGAAGGCGTGGCGGCCGGCCGGGGGCGGGCTGGGGCGGCCGGGGCAGAGCAGAGCCAGCCGCGGCATCCCGCAGTAGGAGCTGCGCCCTCGCCAGCCTCGCCATGCAGCCCCAGCCGGCTCTCGGCGTCAACCGCGGCCCCGCAGGTGAGACGCGGCGGAGATGAGGTCTGCTCTCTGGGGCGCTTCTGGAAGCTGGGAAGTGCAGTTGCCTGGGTTGGGAGGGAGACTGGAGGCGCGCCCACCTTCGAGGGTCCAAATGGGGGCGGGGAGCCAGCCTCGACCGGAGGGTTGTGGGGAGATTTAGGACAGGCAGAAGTAAGGACTTAAACTATGGAACTCGCTGCCGCAGGAGGCAGCGAGTGCCCCTGTTTTGGGTGGCGTGGCATTAAAAGAAAATTGAGCTAATATATGGAGGGGAAGGCTATCGATGGCTTCTATCGAGCCCTCTTTTGCAAGCGAAAGCTTGTTTTCTCCTGCTCTGGAGGGTAGATCTGGAACCAATGGCTTCAATAAAGGAGATTCCGACTAAACATACGGAAAAAACTTTTGACAGTAAGAGCTGTTCGACTGTGAAACAGTCTCCCTCGGGAGGTTGTGGACTCTCCTTCCTTGGAGGTTTTTAAGCAGAGGTTGGATGGCCATCTGTCATGGATGCCATAGCTGAGTTTCCTGCATTGCAGGGGGTTGGACTAGATGACCCCTGGGTCGCTTATGATTCTATAATTTGTTTATATCTTTATTCCGAATACCGGTTGCTTAACACCACAGGAGGGGTGCAGTGCTGCTCTTAGGCTCAGGTCCTGCTTGAGGGTTTCACAGAAGAGGCACAGAAGAGACCAGGAGGCTGGACCAGATGGGCCCCCTTTGGCCTCATCCAGCACTGCAGGGCTCTTCTGGTGTTCTTACTCCTCTGCAGTGAGGCTCTCCCAGGGCAGACGTCTGCCTTCTCCAAGGGGTGGATGGAGGGGGATGGGGGACCTCCCCAGGGAGAAGAGGGAGTCTCCCCAGTGTTTCATCTGCCACAGTTGGAGCTACTGTCTTGTCTCCAGGCCCCCTGACATCTCCAAGCACAGACTAGACTCTTGTCTGAAATCCTGGAGAGCTCCTGCCAGTCAGTGTTGACAGTGCTGAGCTCAAATGACTCAGTCGAAGGGGGCTTTCTGTCTTCCTCCTCCATCGCTCAGAAGACTTCCTTACATCCCAGGTGGCACCATTTCTTCCTGATGGTGTCACAGGAAGATGGGGTTGTATGAGGGATATAACAGCAATGCTCTTTGATTTCCCATGAAATTTCCTTCTTCCCTTTTTTTTCTGGTGATTGGAAATCAGGGAGGAGAGAGGAAGGAAGGTTGTTCCACCTTTTATTCTTATGTATCTGTTTCATTTATATGCCACCTTTTTCTCCCAGGACCTCAATGCAGCATCCCCCTCCTCATTTAATCCCCGCAACAACCCTGTGAAGTAGGTTAGGCTGAGAGGCAGTGACTGGCCCCCAGTGAAGCTCTCTCACAAGTCCTAGCCCAGCACTAACCACTGTGCCATGCTGGCTCTCTCTAGGGCTAAAGTGAGATTCCCAGCTGGGGGGCAGGTCCCTTTGCGTATTGGGGGTTGGCTGGCAGGGGCTGCCCTGAACTGTGTACCATCAGCAGAGAAGCCTCTGGCCTCTAAGGTAATCCCTGGGTGGGAAAAGGTCCCCTGGAACCACTGGAATGCCCAGAGGTGCGTGCATCTTAAAGACGGCTTTCCATTCCCAGGCTAGAAAGGTGTTGATGGGAAGCAGGTGTTTGCTACTGAGAGAACCCATTTCAGGAATCAAAACAAAACAGATATCCTCTGGCTGAACAGCCACCCATAGCTACAGTATAGGGAGATGCAAGCCTCAGAGTTTCACAAAATTCTTCAAACTGTAGCAACTCCTCTATCTAAGCCTGCCACATACCCTTTTATATACGGTACTCTTTGTAAGCTGCTTTGAGGATTTCCGAGCGGCATATAAATTTTATGAAATAAATATATAAATACCCTTGGCCACCTGTATTTTGGGACCAAGACGGCAACTGGAGGATCTCCTTGTCTTGTGGCATACACAATCCTCAACTCACTGAAAACATAAATTGTTTTAGCATAAATTGTTAGCTTAAAACACAGTTATGCAGGGATTTTTCCTCTGTTCAGATGGAAGTTGGTTTCAGGGGAAATGCATCAGGTTGCAGTATTTTATAAGAAACGGCAGGATTGGTATGGCATATGACTAGTGTTGTGTGTAAACCACTTTCCAAACCAGCAGTAGGTGTACGTGGGGTGCAGAGTAAACAGGTGCAGTGTGGTGCAATGGTTAGCGTGTCGGACTGGGGACCTGGGAGACCAGGGTTCAAATCCTCACTCTGTCATGAATCTCACTGGGTGAGCTTGGGCCAGTCACTGCCTCTCCATCTAGCCCACCTTACAGGGTTGTTGTGAGGATAAAGCACACACCTACACACAAGAGAGAGAGAGAGAGAGAGAGGAGGGGGGGGAGGCCTGGTTGGTCTCAGCCAGACATTGCGCATTCAATGTGCCACCAGCCCCATCCTGTGCAAACAAACACTCCGTGGAGATTCAGCAGAGGTCCTCCTCCCCTTTCACTTTCAGTCAACTCTTGGAATTTTTTTTTTTAATTCAATGCCAACTGACCTACGCAGTTCTAGGAAATGTTCTCAAGTAGCCAGTCATTGTGATGATTGTTCCCTATGGCTTTTAACAGGGGAAGTGGCCTGGCTCTTACTTTATTTATTTACCAAGAGTATTTTTATAGACCTCCCTCTGCTAAAATTACCAGGGTGGTATACAGCAATATAAAAGTCAGGCCAGGCCTGAGTCTTACCATGGGAAGAGGAATATTTGTCTTTATTTGGTCCCCTCCCCATCTCAGAGGTTGGTCTTGGTGTACTGAACACACAGCACAAATGCAAGGCTGTGGTTTTAAGAATAAAACAGCTCTAGGAGTAGGAAGAAGGGGCCAGCAAATGTCAGAAGGGGCGGGGGGGGGGAGACCCCTTTCAGGGAGGCTACAGCAGTGGAGTGCCAGCATTGGCAAAGGGTTGGCCTAGATGTCCTCTGAGGTCCCTGGTGACACTGTGTTTGTATTATTAAAGGCTCAACGGGTATCTGTGGCTCAGCTGGGGCCTCTGACAGTTTAAACAGGTTTGTGGCTGGTTTTAGATGTGCAACAGAGGTTTTGTGATTAAGCCTGCCATGAGAACGTCAAAAGAGCCTGCTGGGTCAGGCCAAAGGGGGCCTTCTGGTGCAGCATCCTCTTCTTCCTGCGGCCAACCAGAAGCTCGTTATGGGAAAGGCTCAAGCAGGACCTGAACACAAGAGCCCTCTCTCCTCCTGTGGTTTCCAGCAACTGGTATTCAGAAGTATTACAGCCTTCCAACATGGGGGCAGGATATTGGCATCATGGCCAGTAGCACTGACAGCCCTCTCCTTCACGAATTAGCCCAATCCTCTTTTAAAGCTGCCTAGGTTGGTGGCCATCACTGCCTCCTGTGGAAGTGAGTTCCACAGCTTAGCTATGTGCTGCTGGAAGAATGACTTCCTTTTGTCTGTTCTGTTCTGAGTCTTCCAACGTTCATCTTCACTGGGTGTGCACAAGTTCTAGTGTGATGACTGTCTCAACACTATGTGGAATTTTATAAACCTCTGGTCTGGATAGCTCAGTTGGTTAGAGCATGGGACTGATAACGCCAAGGTTGCAGGTTCAATCCCTGTATGGGGCAACTTATTCCTGGGCTAGATGATCCTTACAGCTCTGCAATTCTGTAATTCACCTCTGACTCACCTTTTCTCTGAATGAAAAAGTCCCTAACGCTGCAACCTTCCATCACAGGAAGAGTTGCTCCATCCCCTTGATCTTTCTGTTTGCCCTCTTCTGAACCTTTTCCAACCATACAATATCCTCTACAACAGGGGTGCCCAGCTCTCAAGAGACTGCAATCTACTTTCAGAATTGAAAACTGGCAGTGATCTACCCCCGTTTTGGGGGGGATTCAGCTCAAAGTTGTTGAGCTTTTTTAGGAGTTAAAAATAGCTTTTTTGGGAGGGGAACTTCCATGGGGGTGGATTAAAGGCAAGGGACAAAGGGGTAAAGTCACTCACAAAAAGATTGCTATGGATGAAAACAGCAGCACAGAGAAAGCTCCTTCTTCCCTTCTAGAGGTCAAATAACAATGGAGGGCAGGGCAGGAGTCAGTTTTAGTGACCCTAAGGAAAGGGAACCAGAGATCAGCCGCAATCTACCAAAACCTCCTGGGGATCTACCAGTAGATTGCGATTGACCTGTTGGACATCCCTGCTCTACAACAGTGTTTTTGCACCTGGCTTTCAACCACTTGCAACCAAGTGAAGATGCCTGGGCGCCAGGATAGCACCTGACATCTCCACCATCTGGAGATCATTGGATCTGGGTTGTTTACACACACCAATACCCGATCCTGAGGATTCTATCAGTTATATTTTATCTGCACAATTGAAATGCGTTTCTGGAACCAAAATGCTTTTTCTGTGCAGCCTGAGCCAGAACAGACACCATTAAAGAAAAAGAGGTTGAAATAGGCCAATATATATGTGGGCTTTCCCGGTTTCAAGTCACTTTTCTTCTTTTAAGTTCTCTAAGCTCTTAACCTAGCCCAAGGTTGCCATCTGAACTTGAAATATGTTTAACTGAGAATCACAGTCAGTCCATCATCTGAAAAAGAAGACTTTAGAGCCATCTTGCCCTCAAATGGCAACTAGACGTTCCGTTTTGGCGACTCCAACCTTGGTTTAAGGAGCCACTGGGTGCCTAGCTTATATATCTGAGTTTCTAACACTGCTCTACAATATCCAGTGCCTGCAATATCCTTGCTTTTTGCTTTGTGTTTCCCCCTCCAAAGTGTCGGCCATTAGCATGGCGCCTGCCAAGAAGATCAAGGCCAAGCTCAAGAAGACATTGCCCGTGACCGGCCCCCAGGCGCCCACCTTGCGGGAGCTGATGCACTGGTACTGCATGAACACCAACACCCACGGCTGCCGACGCATCGTGGTCTCGCGGGGGCGCCTGCGCCGCTTCCTGTGGATCCTGCTCACGCTGACCGCCGTGGGACTGATCCTGTGGTACTGCACTCAGCTGGTCCTCAACTACTACAAAGCCTCTGTCTCTGTCACGGTCCAGTTCCACGCACTCCCCTTCCCAGCCGTCACCATCTGTAACATCAACCCCTACAAGTAAGTGAGGCTCAGCATCCAGGAAAGCACCCCCAAGCCTGCCAGTGGACAGGGACAGTGAAGGGTCAGGATCAGGCCAGGCTGCTTTCAGCACAGTCCTGCTCAAGAACTTGGAATGTGGAGTCAGGGAGGTGACGCCTTGGGTGGAATAAATAATGGCAACTTATAACAGCAGCATTTAATTATTATTTGGAATGCTCAGAGAGCTCCAGTTCACAGTTCCCCGCCCTGGTCTTTAAGATCCCCTAAAGCAGCCCTGCTGAGTGTGCAGCCCTCACCTGTGGAACTCCCTGCATAGGGAGGCCTCTCCGGCCTCTTTGGGGAAACAAGTAAAATAATCTTTTAGGAGGGATTCTTCCTTCTCTTGAAAATGCCCAAAGTAGGAAATGTTGCCCTGCAAACCTGTGACACGAGTGTGGCGGTTGCAGTTGTATTTTTGTTAACAATCTCTTTGGACTTGTTTGAGAATTGCCATGGTGGAATGTCATGTATTTTGTGTCTTGTGGTTTGTGAGACGCTCTGAGAGTTTTGAATAATAATAACATTTCCATTGCAATTTGCATTGCATAGGATCATGCCCTGAGGGACTTGTACAATAAAATAGTAACGAATGTTAATCGCCCCAGAAATATTGACAATGACCCTGCAAAGTAGGCTACTGTTAAATGTCCGGCTTGTGAACCTGATCCCTAGGGGGCTTGTGTTATCTTGCTGCTGGACTATGGGAGTGGGTGGCGTGATTTTACATTCATCGAAAAGTGGTGTTTATGTTCTTGTTTGTTGGGTTGTCACAGTAAGCACAATCCAGTTTAAACATACCTATTGATATAAGCAGATCTTATGCCCAAATAGATATCCAAGCAAGGCGGGTGATTATAAGACATATTTCCTAGTGTCAAAAGTGCAGGAAGATCTTTGGATTGTTGAGTGATGAGTGGCAGCTGTTTATCCTTCCCACTTTGAAGCACAAATCTGATTTAAAATAATTGTGTGTCAGTCTTGGTCCTTGAGCCCAGTGCTGGGCTGAGTGGATGCACCCAGATCCTGGCTATCTGATTTTAACAGGCCTCCCCTCCCCACTCTCCTTGTAGCAAAAGATCTTGCCCCCTGTAGCAACAAGATCCCCTGTCTGTCTCCCGGTAGGTACAGTGCCATCAAGAAACACCTGGCCGAGCTGGACAAAGAGACAGAGAACGCGCTGAGGTCCTTGTATGACTTTTCTGGAAGTAATATCAGGGAGCGCCGTGATGCTGGTGATCCTGAGCCAAGTGAGGACAGAAGATTCCACAGATACTTTCCCTTGATGAATTTAGACAACCTCACACACCAGCAGCCTTTTCCAAATCCTTCCTCTGGTTCCAAACGGCGCATGGAGGCCAACATCATTTCGGGCGGCTCCAGCATCGTCAGCGTCAAGAACCCCCAGGATATTGTGGGATTCCAGCTGGTGAGTCGCCTTGCTCTGTGGCCTATGGGAGAACCAGATGCAGCTCTGTTGAGTCGGATGACAGCCTTACATTTGGGGCCGGCGGGCTTGGCACAGGCAGGAGGGAACTCTAGGAGATGGGGAGGCCCATGCAGCACCTTTGGGGCTTCTTCCGAATCATTTTCCATCCCCATGGCCACAGCCTTCCTCAACCCAGTGCCCTCCAGAGGTTTTGGACTACAGCTCCCATCAGTCCCAGCATGAAGCGGCCATGTGGTGCTGGGGCTGCTAGGAGATGTAGTCCATCTGGAGGGCAGTGGACAGGCTTGTGAGCTCAACAAGTGCCCTTCGCAGGCTCAGACCTGCACCTTGGATCGTGCCCAGAACTTCACCATAGGAAAAGGTGCCACTTGCCTCCTGAAATGTGGCTGGCAGCAGCCTGGAGTGAGTTGGGGGCTTTCCTGTTGTAGCCCCTGCTCAGCGGAAGCCCCTGCCAGGCAACCTTGGTTGTTCTCCACTTTGGGCATCTCCAATTGAGGCAGAAAGCAGGTTATAAATCCTACTGCAAACAAATATAAATACTGTATACACATTAATTAGCTCAACAAACAAATGCGACAAGGTGTCCCTCCTGTCTCACAGTTGAATATGTCTTGCCTGCAGAGTTACGAGTCACCTGCAGTTCCAAGGCTGGATCAGAGAGATTTTCTTTCTGGGTCCAGGCATCTGAGGATTGTGCTCATGCCTTCTCTCTCTTTCTGAATGACTATTGTCATTTTATTTATTGCATTGCTATCCCACCCTTTTTGTCCAAAGTGTACGTGGTTCTCCCCCTCCTCATTTAATGCCCAGAACAAACCTGCGAGGCAGATTAGGCCGAGAGGCAGTGACTGGCCCATGGTCACACCTAGTGAGCTTCATGGCTGAGTGTCAGGATTTGAACCCTGGTCTCCCGGGTCCTGGGCCAACATTTTAACCACTGCACCACGCTATTCTGTGCTGAGCCACCTACCTATTTCCACACTGCAGGGCAGCGTATGCATCTGTGGGGCAGCCCCTTGGCCTGCCTGCTTGCCTGAGCCCCTGCTTTCTCTTCCTTCCAGTGTGACTCCCACAACAAGAGTGACTGTGCCCTTTACACCTTCAGTTCGGGTGTCAACGCCATCCAGGAGTGGTACAAGCTGCATTACATGAACATCATGGCCCAAATCAGTGCTGAAGAGAAAGTGAACATGAGCTACTCGGCAGAGGAGCTCATCTTGAGCTGCTTCTTTGACGGCCGTTCCTGCGATGCCAGGTCAGTCACTGGGAACAGAGCGGGGGGCAGAGCATGCTCCAGCAGCGGAGGTGGAACATATCTATTGCAAATTAAAAGTGCTTTAGATGTGGGAAGTTTAATAGGGGCTTTTCTCTAGCATCCTTGGCGAGGCCAGACAGAAGTGAGATGCACACCAAATTGGCCTTGTGCAGTTGGACAGGTGTTGAATGCAGAGCTCTCTTGTCTCATGTGTGTCTTTTTAAGGACCACCTTTCAAGCCTTCACGGTTTGTGAAGGTCGGTGGCTGGAGCAGGTTTTAGCTGAGTTCTTCTGCTGGCGAACCTCTGAGGCAGTACAGAACAGAAGCCACGAGGGCAGTGCCCTTTCTGCAGCAGTGTCCAAAATGTGGTCTCACCCATGAGCTTAGGACTGCAGATATAGATGTTTCTGCATGGCAACCCACCTGGTCTGCCTTGTAGTTTCCAGGTGGCAGCCTTACAGCCCACCCTCTGGGATCTGCCTCCCCAAAGCATCTGTTTCCCCATCAATCTGTGGGGAGAACAGGCCTGTTCAGGTTCCCAACTGGGTAGTGGTGAGTCATGCCAAAGATCTTGCCATTGCAAGCGGAAGTCTAGTCGTCACTCGGCTCAACCCACCATTCCTGCTTAGCCACTTGTTGCATTAACCCATCCTTCCCCAATCTGGTGCTCGCCAGATGTTCTCAGTGGGGACCATATACCCCCTTAAGATGTTGTTGTTGTTGTTACTCATTAAACTTATTAGTTTCTCTTTTTTTAACAGAATAATTCAAAGTGACTTAGAACAGCAACAGAAATAAATAACACATACCAGTACATTATGTCAGGGATTCCTTTGTTGTGATTCCTCCATTGCAGAGGGTTGGACTAGATGTCCCTTGGGAGATCCTTCCAGCTCTACGATTATATGATTCTAAAATCAGCATAAAATGGAAACCTAAAACTCATTCATATTTTTAAAAGGCAGGACTGAAACATCCCACCCACTGAAGGAGGCCACAGATAATGAAAACCCAGAGGTCTAGCAGAATAGAAACGTTTTTTGCCTGGCCCCAGGGTTAAGTTGATGGTGCCAGGCATTCTTCCCTGTGGAGCCATCACTGAGAGGGGCTGTTCTTGTGTCGACACCCTCCACACCTCCCCCCAGAAAGATCCCTCTTTGCTGCCTCCCACTCCCCATGACATTTTTTAAGAGTTGGGCACCACCCAAATAATTTCAAAACTCTTTGTCCTTGTCTGTTGGGAAGCTAAACAAAAGTCCCTGCATAAACAGTTCATTTCTAATGCAGTTCATGTTAATTGGGCAATTTAAGCTCTTTTGTTGAGTTTATCTACAGTAGGTGGGGTGAAGTGCTTTTGAAAAATAAATATGTCTTTGGTCGGTGCCAGGAACTTCACGACATTCCACCATCCGATGCACGGGAACTGCTATACCTTCAACAGTGGGCAGAACGGAAGCATCCTGAACACAACCACCGGAGGCAGTGAATATGGTAAGAGAGCCCTCCAGACAGTTTGCCTGCTTGATCTCAGTTGTGAGTAGGTGTGGGTGGGCCTAGATTCTTGTCCTGAGCTCTGTAGCCTCTATGCAGAGTGCTAAGAGAACATGTCCACTCGATCACTTCAACTAGCAGAACTGATCCTCTTACAGATGCCACCTAACACCCACTCCACATTTGCAAGAAATCAGCCTTTCCTTGTGGCAGCACCTACACTCTGGAAACTCCCTGCCTATTGAGATCAGTCAGCCTTCACTCTACTCTCGTTGGCACCTGCTAAAACCAGTTTTGTTTAGGCAAGCCTACCCAGGCATGTAGAATGTGGATGTACGTTTTAATCTGTTTTAGTTTATTGCTGTTTTTCTCTTTCAAATGTTGTCAAGAGTTGCTTTTAGTGATAACTTTATTGTATTTTCCTCTTTGCAAACTGCTTTGAGGAGTGTGTGTGTGTGTGTGTGTGTGTGTGTGTTTTACAACCAAGCAGTGGATAAATTTTATAGGGGAAAAACCTAACTAGCTAACTAAGAGAAGCCTACAAAGTCCCAGCTGCGTCCAGCTGCTCCTCCTCCCACCCTGCCCCCTGCCTCCCCTCCATGGATAGTCTTACCTGACCTGAATCTTGCATGCAAGCCTCTTTTCCACCATTAAGATTTGACATTTGAAATATTGCTTGTCTGGGTAGCTGGTCCCTAGTGGACTGGTGTGAATCTGTATGTGTACCCCTACATTCCTGCCCCCCCCCAGAAAAAAGCACTGCTCTTGAGGGGCTTAAGTTCACAGTTTTGCAAGCAAATACACATTAGGGGATTTCCTGTACCAGTCGCTGCCACTTTAGCTGAGACCTTCTGGCTTGTAAAGGACCTCATTTCCCCCTGGTAAATCTGCCCGGACCTGGACATCAACACGTGCCACCTCCGAGGGAGTTTCGGAGGGTGTTGCTGAGAGAATGGGGCCCTCTCTGCTGTAGTTCGCTGTCTATGGAATGCTCCTTCAGGGAGGCTCGCCGGGGGCCAAACCTGCTATCATTGGTTCCAAATGTGCTTTATTTTTGCGAGGAGTTGGGGCAGCAACACTGATACGATTCTACTGTCAGATCTGTATTTATTAACATTTGCATGATTTTATTTTTTTATTGTTTAAAGATTTCGATTATGAATTGCTTTGGGACTTTTGTAGTGGAAAGCAACGCAGAAATCTAATATACCCAGGTTTGCGGCTGACCACCGTTTTGCACTGCCAAGTAATTGCCTGGCTTTGCCCAAACTCAGCAGACTGATCTGTCTGCCTGCATGGATTTTTACATTTTGGTTTGGCTAAATTTTTCGCTGCAATTTTTTTAAAAAAAACCATGCATTAGCTTGTTTTGTTAGCTGCTTCAGGTGCTGCGCAGAGAAGCAAAGGAGAGAACGGGAGACGCAATAGTTTAGCTGGCAAGTCTCATCCCGTGTGCCCTGACTTTTTTTGGCCCCTGTCCTCACAGGGCCTTCTCCTCCTCTTCCTCCAGAGCCTCTCTTGGTCCCGTACCTTCCACTAAACTGGCCTAATCCTGTGCTCCTTCCTTTACACAGGGCTGCAGGTGATCCTGTATATAAACGAAGCAGAGTACAACCCTTTCTTGGTGACGTCTACGGGAGCGAAGATAGTGATTCACGGCCAGGATGAATATCCCTTCATCGAAGACGTCGGCACTGAGATAGAGACGGCCACAGCCACCTCCATCGGGATGCACTTTGTGAGTGGTGCTGCTGGAGCAGAACCCTGGGCAGATTCTGCTCTCGGGTGTGCAGGAAACCCCCCTCCCAACATACGGCTGCCCAGTGCTCAGAGCTTTCCAAACTTTTCATGTTGGTGGCATGCTTTTTAGACATGCATCATTTCACGACACAGTAGTGCAGTTTTATTAGCAAACCAGGAGGCTAAACTAACCCCTTATAAGTGATACGGACACATACATAAATTGTAATACAGTGGTACCTCAGGTTAAGAACTTAATTTGTTCTGGAGGTCCGTTCTTAACCTGAAACCGTTCTTAACCTGAGGCACCACTTTAGCTAATGGGGCCTCCTGCTGCCGCTGCGCCGTGGGGGCACAATTTCTGTTCTCATCCTGAAGCAAAGTTCTTAACCCGAGGTACTATTTCTGGGTTAGCGGAGTCTGTAACCTGAAGCGTCTGTAACCTGAAGCGTCTTTAACCCGAGATACCACTGTAGTGTGACACACCTACACACTGAGCTGATGTACTAATGTGTCGCAACACACACTTTGGAAAGCTCTGCTCTGGCTGGAGGCCGTTTTGGAGGAGACTTTCTTTGCCATGTTCTTTGTCCTGTGTGGCTGTGACTAAGGGTCAGGGCTGCATTAAAAGGAAAAAAAGATCTGAACTTGCATGGCCAATGATGGGGGCTGGAGTCCAGCAATACCTGGAGGACCACAGATGTTCACTCCACCCCAGAAAGTGGAACTATGAAGTGTCTACCCAATGAAATATTAGATATACATAAGACATTGTCAGGTCTTATGAGGGAGTTCATCCATACTTCAGAGGTACAACATCTGCTTCAATCCTGGCCATTGCCAAGTATTTTTTTTAATTTATTACCGATCTTTCAGGATGTAAATCCTGCCAAACCTACTTTGGGATGCCAGGCCTGGCTTTGGCCTCTTGGGATAGAAAATCCTGATAGCACACAATAGAGTGCACCTGAGCTTGTGCAAAGTGCCTTTCCAGCACCCACACCTCTGGGGTTAAAGGAAGAAGCACAAGCGTAACCCAGGTTGCCTCTTCCCTGCCCCACACACCCCTCTCCCATCACACACCCCACCTTGGCAGGCTCACACCAACAGAGTTCTTCCTTTCTGACCCACAGACAAAGTCCAAAAGACTCGGCTATCCATACAGCAACTGCAAAGAGGACGGGTCTGACGTCAATGTGAAGAAGCTATACAAGAACAAAACCTACTCTTTGCAGGTGAGGCATGTGTGGTGGCCAGGGTGTGGGAGTATGAGAAGTGATCCCATGCTCTTGCATCCCCCCAAGGAATACGGGGGGGGGGAGTAAATTGCACCCATGCAGCCTGGAGCCCCAGGACCTCTGCCTCATGGTTTTGCGCAGCCTGCACCAGCAACCACAATGGTTCGGGCTGATGGAAATTGTAGTCCAAAATGACCATGCTGGCTGGGGGCTCATGGGAGTTGTAGTCCACAACATCTGGAGGGCACTGACAGACACCCTGCTTGATTTCTCCCCCTCGCAGACCTGCCTCCATTCCTGCTTCCAGAATGAGATGGTGAAAAAGTGCGGCTGTGCCCAGTACGCCCAGCCCCTGCCCGATAATGCCGAGTTCTGCAACTACAAGAAATATCCAGACTGGAGTAAGTCTTCCCATCACTCCACCTGCCCCCTCCTCCAGAGGGGGCTTAAGTTTCTCTGAGACGTCTCTTTCCAGGAATGCATCCCACTCTGCCTTGAGTCCAATGTGAGCTCTTTGTTGCCATCCATAATTTCAGGAGAAAACACCCTTCCTTGGGAAGCCATAGCTCTGGGCCTAAACCAGACTTTAGGCAAGAAGAGGCTCCTGCTTCCCTCTCGCCTTCCGCACACATCTGCGTACATGGCCTGCTGCCAAGCTGCCCTTCATAATCCATCGTCATCAGCATGTGATTAGTATAGAATCATAGAATTAAAAGAGTTGGAAGGGGCCCCAAGGGCCACCCAATGCCCATCCAACCACTGCTTTCAAAACTCCAGTGAAGGAGAACCCACCACCTTCTGGTGCAGTGGTGAACTTTGGGCTTTCAAATTTCAGTAGCAATGCCAAAATTCAGTGCCCGCCCCCCATTGTTGCAGTGTCCTCTCAGCTCAGCGCCCAGTGCAGGTGAACCAGTCGTGCTCCCCTAAATCCGCTTCTGTCCAGGGGCGCTAAGAGCTGTCCACTGTCAAACAGCTCTTAGCGCCAGAAGGTTCTTCCTGGTGTTTAGCTGGAATCCCTTTCTTTAGTTGGAATCTCCTTTGTTATGCCACCCTTCCATAAAAAGAATCGTGCCCAAAGCAGCTCTTCAAGCGGGAATTGCATCTCAGAAATCAACCATTGCAGGAACAATTTCACAATAGCATCCTGAAACAACAACGTAACAGCAAATATAGCAACATACAAGAAAAACACTCACATCCACATTTCAGAGCTATAAATAAAGCCAGATTGCATTAACAAGATGACTCTGTTCTAGCCATACCAAAAATAGCAAGGAGGTTGGACCCGTTTCTCTTGGGTCCCAGGAACACCCCCTCTCCTTGATGTTGCTCACAGTCCCCTTCCTGCAGCAGCTTCTCAGGAGGTTTCCAAAGGCAGGAGCCCCTTGCTCATTCCCAGCAGAAGGCAGGAGTGAAGACCATGCTTGTTGCCTTCTCCAGGATGGTGTAGTGGTTAAGAGCGGTGAACTTGTAATCTGGTGAACCGGGTTTGATTCCCCGCTCCTCCACATGCAGCTGCTTGGGCTAGTCACACTTCTTTGAAGTCTCTCAGCCCCACTCACCTCACAGAGTGTTTGTTGTGGGGGAGGAAGGGAAAGGAGAATGTTAGCTGCTTTGAGACTCCTTCGGGTAATGATAAGGCGGGATATCAAATCCATACTCCTCCTCCTCCTCCTCTTCTTCTTCTTCTTCTTCTTCTTCTTCTTCTTCTTCTTCTTCTTCCTCCTCCTCTTCCTTGCCCAAGATGCTTCCTCAACAACGTGGGAGCTTGCCTCTGTCCCGCGGTTGTCCCAAGACCTTTTTCCCCAGCCACGCTGGGATTTTTGCAGGATTGGTGGAGGCCGCTGGGCTGCTCCTAACAGCCTCCCTTCTCTCTCTCTCTCTTCTCTAGTGTATTGCTACTACAAACAGCATGAAAAGTTTGTGAAGGAGCAGCTGGATTGCCAGGGGAGCTGCACAGAGGCCTGCAGGTAAGTCATCGTCCCCCCCCCCACCATCCCTCTACCACCACCCCACAACTAGAATGCTCCAGGCTCCAATTACACCAATGGCAACTTCCTGCATCCTTGATTTGAGAGGTTTTCCAAAGGGTGAAAGGGTCGGGTCTTCTGCCACTGGGGTCCCTGGAGAAGACATCAGGGTGCTGAATCCTTTCCTCTATGCTTGCTCAATGCCTGCCTTGCCTCCCCAGCTTGAAAGAATGGACCCTCACCACCAGCCTTGCCCAGTGGCCTTCTTCAGCCTCCCAGGTGAGTGTCTCCCTCCCACAAGTCCTGTTTGCCTTGATCTCCCTTTGCCTAGGATGTGGTGCCCTTTCTGCACAAAAGAGGGCTGCCCCCTTTCCTCCTTCCTGTTCATTTTATCCCTTGAAAACTTGGCTATAACATACCTGTTGACTGTCCCGGAAAAAGTGGGACACCCCGTTTTTTCTCTCACAAAAAGACAGTGACCAAAATGGCCGCCGCGATCTCACATGATTTCGGGCTGCACTTTTTCAGGCATGGTGCTCGAAAGCAAATACTTTTGCTCACTGTTTCAAAAACAAAAACAAAAAAACACTTTTGGGGGGGGCATGAACAATGCAGGTCAAGTGATTTGTGTGGGAGTGCAGCCTTGGAAGATCGTGTCTTGGTTTTTGGCCGGTTTATATTGTAAGGAATGCTATAAAGTTTTATAACAATAGATAGATCCAGGGGTTTGCAGTAGGTAACACGTTGCCATCATGCTTCAAGATACAAAGAGTTGCCCTCCCACAAGTATGTAAAGAAAACTGGAATAAGTAACATCTAATTGGTTTTTTAAAAAAATTCTTGATGCAATACACAGCCTTTTATCCTAGGTACTCCTTGTTTCAGACATAGGTTTCAGTCATAGGTTTGTGTTTCTGTATATCTTGCAAGTCAGGTGTGCCCCACCCATTGTTCTCTCGTTTCTTATGACGGGACTTTTCACTTACCTTTCTGCATCTCATCGCAAGTATTCGGATAACGAGCTTTATAATTTCTTCATGTGAATGTAGCATCCCATGGCCTCCTGGGTTTGGTTTGGTTTGGTTTTTACACATGTGTTTGTCTTGTGAAGTTCTATTCAATAAAAAATACTTTAAAAAAAAGAGATCCAGAAGTTCTACTTCTGGAGGGAATTAAGACTATAAATTATTTTGGGGTGGTGTCTTGTCTCTAAATTATTATTATTACTAATTATTATTATTATCCTATCAGACCGGGTGGCCCAAGCCAATTTGGATCCCTCCCAATATAATATTAAAAAATTCTAAGATTAAAAACTTCCCTATATAAAGTTGCTTTCAGATGTCTTCTAAAAGTCAAATAGTTGTTTATTTCCATGACCTCTGATGGGTGGGTGTATAATAATAATAATAATAATAATAATAATAATAATAATAATAATAATTTTATTATTTATATAAACTGTGACAAATCAGTCTCCTTTTTCTGTAATGTGAACACCCCAAGACCCAATTAACTATTAGATGGTCCCCTGGTATTAAGACTTGTTCCACCTCCTCGCAGTATTCTAAAGAATCTGAACAAATTGTTTCATTTAATTTTTAAAAAAAGAATGTGCCCCTTCCATATGTTCACCTGCACAGGCACAAGATCAGATGCAAAGCCCTCTCTTATGTCTAAATCCTGCCCTACCCAGGGAGCTCCTAAACTCCATGGGAGGACCAGGCTAAGGGACGGAGACAGGGAGTTGGTTTGAAAGGCTGACAAGGAAAAAATGGGGACAGGAAAGGAAAGAGCTGTGAGTGAAGCAGTGGCGGGCAAGAGTCAGACCCAGGGCCAGCTGTCAGCTAAGCTGAGCCCCAGCCTGTGGGGCTTCGAAGGGCCCCTCCCTGCCCCTTCCCCGCCCCACCCGCCCATGATTTTTAGTACCTGGCACTTTTGAATAGGAGTCCAGGGGATGGTTACCTCCATCAAAGGGGCAGTGGTGGTGGCTGCCACATGCAAGTCTGGGCCCTACCCTAGGCACAGGGGCTGGTCCTTGTCAGCACAATTTCGAGGGGCCCCCAAAGCCCTGAGGAGAGGGGGGTGGCAAATGGGAAGGACAAGCTCACAGAGGAGACCACACAATTGTCCTGCTTATGTGTTTCTTCCCTTTGGGGCATCGGGCAAGCCACTGAGAGAACAGGAAGCTGGACTGAACTTCAGGAAGAAGTTTCTGAGGGTCAGAGCTGTTTGACCATGGAACTGATTCCCTTGGAAGATGGTGGACTCTCCTTCATTGGAGAGGACTGTCTGTGGGTGGACTATCTGCCAGGGATTCTTCAGCTGTGATTCCTACACTGCAGAGGGTTGGACTAGATGAACCTTTGAGTACCTTCTAACGCGATGATTTTGTGACTGGATCCTTACCCAGCGGCACGGCTTTTCTGATGTTCGAGCATGTTCAATTAATTCTGGCTCTCTTCTTTTAAAGGAATGGATGCTGAAACTTCTGTCATGGGATAAATGGAACAACCGTGGTGAGACCTTTAAAAAGTAAGTTCCCCACACACGCACATCCCGTAAGAAGCCAGGGCTGCCCCTCCTAGGTGGGACACTGTTGCTTCCCAACCAGCCCTGCCTCATCCAGCTCCATTTCTCCTTCTCTCCCCCCGCCCCACAATTTATTTTCTCAGGGAAGACCTGGCAAACCTTGTGGTGTTCTACAAAGATTTGAACGAGAGGGAAATCAAGGAGAATCCAGCAAATGATGTGAGTGTTGCCTTTGGCCAACTTCTGAGTAGCCCCTTCTGGGAGGACACTTGCCAAGAGGGGCTCCTCCACTCAGGCTCAGGAAGGAGCTAATCCTGGCACTGTTAAGGGGAATCATTTCCCCATGGGCCCCAGCCTGGCCCCCCTCTGGGTTGGTGGAGGGAGGCAGGAAGAGGGATCCATTTCCACCACACCTGCAGATTTTGCCCTAGTGTGGTGGAGAGAAGAGCCACAGCTCCATGGTCATAGAGCACCCTCTTTGGAAGCAGAAGGCGCTAGGTTCAATCCCTGGCAATGTTTCCAGGTAGGCAGACACACCGTGAAGCCCTGGAGAGCCACTGCCAGTCAGTGCTGAGCAAGACAAGCCACTTATCTGGCTTAGTAGAAGGCAGTATCCAACAATGGCCATCATTCAGGGGCCATTTGCTTTGCACAAAGAAGGTCCCATGTTCAGTCCCAAGTGTTTTCTGGTAGGGTTGGGTGGGGCAAGGAGACAGTGGAATGGAGAGAGTGTCCCTTCAGTGGCCAGGGGAGTGGGGAGCCTTCAGTGGTCCATGGAGCATCCTGGGATTATCAGAGGCTGGGGTTTCCATACAGGGAAACCCTTCTCCATGTAGAAATTAAACCCTGCCAGGAAACCCCCCAAGGGAAAACTGGTGATGAAGTGCTCCCTCTGTCCCTTTCCAGCCCGTCATTCTTGTCTCCAACATTGGGGGCCAGCTGGGCCTCTGGATGAGCTGCTCCATGGTCTGTGTCATCGAGATTGTGGAGGTCTTCTTCCTCGACACCATTTGCATCATCCTGCGCCGCCACTGGCAGAAGGCCAAGAAGTGGTGGCGGGGTAAGAACAGGGAGCAAGAGGAGGAGGAGGAGGAAGAAGAGGCAGAGGCAGAGGCAGAATCAACCCCTCAAAATGGCCTGCAGGGCCACGACAACCCAGCCTGCACTGCAGACGACGATGACCTGCCCACCTTCAACACAGCCATGCGCCTGCCCCTCTCGCTGGAGCACCCACCCCCCAGGACCCCCCCGCCCAACTACAGCACCCTGCGGCTGGCCAGCACCTTTCCAGAGCAGCTGGATGACACCCTGGAGGTCCGGACAACCAAGTGATGCCCTTGACCCCAGCAGGAAAGGCCGCTCCTTGGACTAGGCGGCTGGACTTACCCTCTGTCGGGACGAGGGACAGAAGCTGCTTGCCCCAAACAGAACTGCACCTGCTCTGTGCTCTGCCATTCTGCTAGCCAGACACTTGATGCCGTTTCTGTATTAATTCCCCCTCTGCCCCTTGCTGGGGGCGAGCCAGGCTTTTCACTGGGGCGGCTGCTGTCGCGATGCTCGGGTGTCCGAGGGCAGTTCCTGTCTGGAGGTGGGAGCTTAGTCCATGACCTTGGACCCCCAGACAACAGCTGCTGACTCTGTGGCAGAGAGCTGTGACTCCTTAGGGAAAGGACAAGTCCAGCTGCACCTTGACCCTCAGGCACGGAAGATGGTTGTGGGTTCAGTAAGATCCAGGTTCCCTTTTGCTGAAGCTGAAAGCAGCTCCCTGGTTTCAGCTGGCCTGGAAGGGAGCTAAGTTCTGCCTTCAAGATTTTGCCTTTGTCCCAAAGCTGTAAAGGTTGGTTCTGAGAGCACACCTCGCAGAAGGAGCAGCCTTGGCTCTCAAGGGGTGCCTTTTAATCCTGCTTCTGAAAAGACCTGCATCCCCATGCCCAGCTACACCCACACATGCACCCCCAGCCCTTCCAGGTGCACTTACCGGGGTACATTTTGCCGCCACCTCCTCCCTTGCAAGGTCCATCCGCTGGAGAAGCTGGTAATACTGGGGGGCAGGACACCTCTCAGTGCAAGCAACTGGGAATCACATGTGGGGAGAGGGCTGCTGCTATTGTTGTGCTCAGGTCCTGCTTGCAGGCTCCCCATAGAGGCATCTGCCTGGCCGCTGTGAGAAAAGGGGGCTGGACTCCCAACAGGCCCCCTTTCACCTGATCCATCACTGCAGGACTCTTTGGATGCAGAGGCCGTGGCAGAGGTGGCAAGCAGGAAGGAGTGAAAAAAAGACTTGGCTCATGTGCAATATATGGTGGTGGTGTTTTTAAGCTTAATAATTTAACAACCGAGACCAACCCCTGGGAACTGTGGAAGGGGAGAAATGCCTTTAATAAAATATTTCTAAGGAACAGCCTGTGTCTGTGCATGTGAGATCTTTTCCCTGGGAAATCAGGTAGGGCTGGAGCTAAGGATCTTGGGGCCTCCCTGGAAGCTGAAAGGGGCTCCTGCCAGAGTCCTTCCACCAGCCAGAGCCAGTGAAGGGGTGCAAGCATCTGCCTCCACAAAGGTCCTAGACACCCTACTCTCTGCTTTTCCCCAGTCATGAGCCACCCTCTGACACTCTGCCTTGGCTCATTCCTGCTTTCAAACACATGGTGATGTTGATTGATGGCAAACGAGGCAGCAGGGCTGGTGGGTGTGGGATTCTCAGCTCAGGCAGGAGCTATTGTTTGCCTCGTGGCACCATCCCAAACTTGGGGGGGGGGGGCACCTCTGGATGCTATTGCCTTGGCAGGCAGCATCATAAATCAGGGGCAAGGAGACTGTTACCATTTCCTAAGAGGTAGCGATGGAGGGGGGGGTCTTACCTGTGTACACATCACATCAGCCATGGTGGAGGGTGGCATGCCCAGCTGCAGCTCAGGGTATGACGATTATTAGTGACACTCAAGGGCGGGGTAAAGAAAGAGTCCCATCTCTCTCCCCCCCCCCAGCCCTTGGAAAGCAGGGGGCAAACAGGGTCGCCTTGTTTTGTTCCTCAAGGCAATTTCTCTGCCCTCCCTCCAAAAAATATCTGCCCATTTAACTGCCAGGGGCTGTACTGATGCACTACAGTGAAAGGTGACGTGGCAGAGACATGGCATCCTAGACAGCTGCTGCTTCTGGGAGTTTGTTTCAGGGAGTTCATACAGGGTCATGGATGTAAGAAAAAGTCTTATCCCCAACCTGGTCCCTCCCTGGGCATTTTGCACAACTGGGGCTCTGTCAGAAGCCATAGAAAAGCCATTCTTCTGAACTGGTACCTGTTCTCCTGACTTGAAAGGCAGGGCTGCCCCAGGAGCCTCCCACAGGTCCCGTCACTGGTTCAAAGTCCATCCTGGAACTCTTTGACTCGCTTCAGTAGGGACATCTCTGCCAAAAGGTGTTGGGATGGAACTCAGCTTGCAACACAGGCTGACAACATCGGGAGAAATCTCCAACTTTCCTAGAATGTCCTTTTTCCACTGACTGCTTGGTCTTCCTTCAGTGCTGGGCTGATGCTTGCAGGGTTGCTCAGCTCATCGTTTCTTCTTCCTTCTTTGTCTTTACCCTGGCGGAGGAGAGAGCTTTTGCATCTCTCCTGCTCAACTGAAAGACCAAGCAGGACTCACTGCATTTCCTCTTAGTTACAGCTAGGATCTTTCCTATCACATATGTACAGTATATCCCCCAATAACTGTACCCCTCTTCTTTTCCAAAACTCAGAACCTCAGTGTAACAACATCCAAGGCAAAGTGTGCTCATCCAGCTCAGCTTCTGTGAGCTTCCAAACACCAGCCATTTCCGGGTCTATGGTCAATCAGGCCCTAAAGCAGAGGCGACTACACTAAAACGTCAACTAGAGTTTGCTTGTCATTAATTGCATTTATATACTACTTTTCTAGATACACAGATACAAACAGATAAGAGTATCTCCTAATACCCACCCCACCCCTTTGCCCCTGTGGATGAGCCTCTATATTGGCATCTTCCAGACCCCCAGAGGTCCAGCGTGCTCAGCTTCTCAAACAGCTGGGCCTCGCTCTCCCACCCATCCTGAGTGCTGGAGGAGAGGGCTGAGTCTTCTAGACTCCGGACTCCTCTTTAGAAGAAGGGTGGAGGGAGCTGGGAATGTTTAGCCTGGAGAAGGGAAGACTGAGAGGTGATATGAGAGTCATCTTCAAATATCTTAAGGGCTGTCATATAGAAGATGGAGCAAGCTTATTCTTGCTGCTCTAGAGGGTAGGACTCAAACCAATGAATTCAAATGACAAGAAAGGAGATTTTGACTAAACATCTGGAGGTAAGAGCCATTGGACAGTGGAGTGGACAAACTTGGAAAGTGGTGGGCTCTCCTTCATTGAATGTTTTTATTTTTTTAAAAAAAAGATTTTTATTAAAGTTTTCAAAATAATACAAAAGAAAAAGAAAAAATACAAAGTAAAAACAGTTAAAAACAATTCAATCTTTCCGTGTCTTATCTTTCATTCGCTTGTTCCCCAGACCTCCTCACACCTCCCTTTTTTGTATCCAGTTCAATTAGTTGGTTCAGCAAATCCTTTCCCTCTTTGTTTTTATCCTAATCTTTACTCTTAATATATTATAACTTTAGATTATCCCCTGTTAACAATCCATTTTTACACATCTTTATAACATTACTGCTGAAAACCGCTTAACTTCAATCCAACATCATTCTAACATTCATTAATTTTGCAATATTTCTGTAAATAGTCTTTAAATTTCTTCCAATCTTCTTCCACTGACTCTTCTCCCTGGTCTCGGATTCTGCCAGTCATTTCCGCCAGTTCCATATAGTCCATCTCCTTCATTGAATGTTTTAAATAGAGGTTAGGTGGTCGTCTTAGCTGTGATACCTGCCTTGCAGAGCGTTGGACTAGATGTATGTTGGGGTATCCAAATCTACAGTCCTGTGATTTTTCACAGGAACAAGCCAGCCCTGCTGCTGCACTGCTGAGTGGGGCTCCTGGACCTCTGACCCAAAGCCCTGCCCTGATAGCACATTCAATACAGAGGTTTCTAGTGGCCGTCAGAGCCAGACCCAGAGGAAGCCACTCTGTTTTCTTCCTGGTGAGGGAGGCTAGAGAAGGTGCTGAGCAAGTTCTACCAGCTGCTGCTGTCAAGGATGATTTCCTGATAACTTGGTGCTCTCCTCCGCCCTGGCAATTGCATTAACTGGGTCAAACCACCACCGCCACTTGGCCTCCTGCTGATGGTGATGGGTGTGTCTTCCCAGAGCTGACAGGGATCATCATCCTCACTGCGTCATCACCTTCCTGATGACACTGAGGGCCAGGGAGATGATGTCAAGTGGCTCATCTTTGAAGTTGGGCCATCTTGGGGGTACAAGTCACAAGTTTCTCTCTCTCTCTCTCTCTCTCTCTGTGTGTGTGTGTGTGTGTGTGTGTGTGTGTAATGGAAATGGGATGTGGGACTTCCCCCAGTTTGATGCAAGGTAGGTTTCTAAGTAAACCTGCCCTGTTTGACCAGGAGCCATCAAAAGCAACTGGGAAAAGGGAAGGGATGCTGGGTGAGTCAAAAAAAAAGATAGAGAAAAGGGAGCATGCTTTCAGTGAAGCCAAGGAAGGAGATGTAATAAGACCAGAAATAAGAGAATCATAGAATTACAGTGGTTAAGAACTTAATTCGTTCTGGAGGTCCATTCTTAACCTGAAACTGTTCTTAACCTGAGGTACCACTTTAGCTAATGGGGCCTCCTGCTGCTGCCGCATGGTTTCTGTTCTCATCCTGAAGCAAAGTTCTTAACCCGAGGTATTATTTCTGGGTTAGCAGAGTCTGTAACCTGAAGCATCTGTAACCTGAAGCGTCTGTAACCCGAGGTACTACTATAGAGCTGAAGTACTGTATGATTTCTTGCCTTCATGTGTGTGTAACCTTGCTACGTGAAGAAGCATCTATACACCCTGTCTCTTTTCGTTTCATGTACTAAACCAACCTTTCTTCATTCCTTTGGTGTGTGAGAAAGTAGCTAGAGAAGAGTTTTTCTCCCTCTCTCCTAACACTAGAACTGTGGGCAACCAAGGAAGCGGAAAGCTGGACGATTCAGAACAGAGGAAAGGAAGTCCTTCTTCACACAGCACGGCATTAAACTATGGAACTCCCTGCTGCAGGAGGCAGCGATGGCCACCAACTTAGATGGCTTTGAAAGAGGATTGGACAGATTCATGGAGGAGAGGGCTAATGGGGGCTAGTAGCCAGCATAGCTATGCTCTGCCTCCACAGCCAGATGAAGCAGTGTTTCTAAATACCAGTTGCTGGAAACCACAGGAAGGGAGGCTTGTCCTCAGATCCTGCTTGTGGGTTTCCCGTCTGGTTGACCACTGTGAGAACAGGATGCTGGACTAGATGGGTCACTGGCCTGATCCAGCAGGCTCTTATGTTCTTATGTGAGCTTATTAATTGGGGATAAGGTTATGGGCAAACAGGTGTTCATAACAGATGCATGCATCCATGAAAAGGATGACAGTCCTCTCTGAGCTGTACTAGGTAAAGGTAAAGGTACCCCTGCCCATACGGGCCAGTCTTGACAGACTCTAGGGTTGTGCACTCATCTCACTCAAGAGGCCGGGAGCCGGTGCCGTCCGCAGACACTTCCGGGTCACGTGGCCAGTGTGACATCGCTGCTCTGGCGAGCCTGCACCAGCGCAGCACACGGAACGCCGTTTATCTTCCCGCTATAACACGGTACTTATTTATCTACTTGCACTTAAGGGTGCTTTCGAACTGCTAGGTGGGCAGGAGCTGGGACCGAACAACGGGAGCTCACCGCGCCGCGGGGATTCGAACCGCCGACCATACGATCGGCAAGTCCTAGGCACTGTGGTTTTACCCACAGCGCCACCCGCTGTACTAGCACCTCGTAATAGAAGTCTGTATTTCAAAAAGGCTTGGAACTCAAGGCTCTCAGAATCATCCTTTCCTTTCTTCATTATCATCCTGCAGCAGGGCTTGGGTGCCCCCAACTAATCGCTGCACTGAGGGGGACAGCATTGGGGGGAACATTTCAGCTGGTGGGTGAAGGATGAACCACCTCTTTCCAGTGCAATCACCAAAAATCCACTCTACGGTTTCATATCCAATACACAGATAAGGACTGGGATAAAGGTCAGGTGGAATGCTGGATAAAGGAGGTCTTCTGGATGAGCCACAAGCCCTACAAAGGAAGACTGAAGGCATTAGGTACGTTTAGCCTGGAGAAGAGGTGATTAAGATGTGAGATAACAACTCATATTGTTCTCTGCATACTGTAAAATTGTATGAATCCTTCAATTATCTACCTACTACATTAACAATCAATAGATTTCTGTATGTTTATTCAAAACCTGCCAAGGAGTCCATTTTGTTGTCTTTT